GCAAATTAAATTTTTCTATTTTTTTTATTATTTATTTTTATTTAATTTTTATCTCTTAAATTTTAACTTATTTCTCTTTCTTTTTAAACTTAATTAACCGTTTTAAACTTAATCTTTTAACTTTTAACTTTTAACAATCGGACTTTTATATCTTATCTTAACAGAATTCTTTGACCGACGAATTTGTTATCAATAAGTTTTTCCAACATTGACCTCCAAAAAATACTAAATCATTGTTTGATATTGGTACCTACATAATTATTATAACTTTATAACTTATTGTTTTCGTATCTAGCGTTTGACATAGTCTCTTATCTTCTTTATTTTAATTTTCGTAATTTTTTTATATATTATTTTCTACATTTTCAATTTATTCTTCTTTTATTTTAAATTACAGCTTATGTAAGCTTTTCAATTCTCTTTGCCACACTTCATTATTTTATTACATTGTGATACTTTTTCAAACTAATGAAGACTAAGTAATGTCAAAATGTTTTTATTATTTCTTTCATTTTCTCAGAGAATAAATTAATTAATTAAGTCTTGTTTCGTAATATTCATTATTGCTTATTTTCGCATCAATACTGCTATTATTTTTCTTTTACTTTGCAAGTTTGTAAGGCTTATATTGTTTTTATAAATAATTATTTTTCACGCTGCTAATTTTTCTAAAGTACTATATCCTTTACCTTGATTGTAAAATATAGTGCATTTATTAAGTAAGCAAAGCGATAATAATTAAATAAAATTAATTTTTTATTGCAGTACTTCGACAATAAGGAATTGTTCCATTCCATTGACGTCCGTCGCAATAAATTTCAGGGTTGCCGATCAGGAAGTAACCAGGTTCGCAGAAGAACATTAATATTCCACCATTTAATTTTTGTACTATAATTGCGTGACTAGGCGCTGATGGTACGGGACATTCCGCGTCTAAACATCAAAAAAATAAATCAGATCTATTAATCATCTTATCTTATTTAAAGTTTAGAAAACACGTTGCATTTAATATTTACTGTTATCAATAATTCCTTCATTAAAACTGATTAAAATATATTGGTGGTGCAAATTGTTACAGTGCAATTATTTTGTCTCACTTTTCTATTATTATACATTACTCTACAGACATGTTTTATTTTATAATATTCTAATAAAAATATTTAGCATCGAAGAACCTGTTAAAAGAGAATTTCTGCACACCTAGATATTAAATTATTGAAAATTAAACTTTTTTTAAGAAAGACGATCGATCAAGAAGTATTACAGACGTCGCGTCACAAAATCCATTAGCATTATTTAATTAACAATTTCGTCAGTTTTTATGTTAAATTTTACTTACTCACACACACGGGGACAGATGTGTCCCATTGCCCACGTGCACACGTGGAATATTTATTACCCACAAGAGTAAATCCATCGAAACAATTAAACCTCGCGATTCTACCTCGACCTCGAATGCGAATTCTTCCGTTGTTCAATCGTATCATGGGACATCCTCCTGAAAGAAAATTATTATTACGAAACACCATTAATTCAATAGTCACCTGATTTCTTCTTTACATAAAGCTTGCCCCTGCAGACCTATTCTGTAACTCTTAATACACATTTCGTTATCGTTATAACGCTGCTGCGCAGTTTTTTTACCATAGTAAAAGAACTGCGCAGCTGCGTAATAATGATAATAAAATTTATGTTAAGAGTTACAGAATAGGCCTGCGAGTGTTTTTTTATATATCTTAATTAAAACCACTATTATTTACTACATATTGTATATTATTAATTTTTTCCTGAATAGTATTTGGAAACATTATAAATATGAATTTAATCACAATTTTCTGAAAAAAGTAAATAGATACTAAGCAAATATTAAACAAAATAAGCATATTAAATAATTAATTATGACAATATTTCTAAAAAAATAAGGATTTTAATTAATACAATGTTTTTTAATTGCGTGCTTTTGATGGAATTGCATATTTAATGTTCGTAAAAAATAAGTTATTAAAACAGGAAAAAATATGAATTAAATAATGTATGTATAAACAAATATTTTACAATAATTTACACTTTTTTGCCGAAATATAAAAATATCTCAGGTTATTATTTTATAAAACTCCAACATTCTTTAATGTAAAAAGATAAGATAATAATAAGATATAGTAAACACGGAAAAATAAAAATGTACAATTATATATAATATTAGTATGATTTTATAATATATTGTCAATCAAATATAATATTTATTACTAATTTTTCTAATAAAGCAATTTTCTGTACTAAAACAAACATGTCATAATAATAATGAAATAAAATAGCGTAATTGTTTATTGAGTTAGTTATTTATTAGGTGTTGGAATTAATTCGTAGCGTTTTTAATGAAAGAATGTTATTTATTTCACATGAGCATTAAAAAATACATTAATGAAAGTACTTCCCATCACTTGTAAAACGCTACGAATTAATTCCAATACCTAATATTCTTTATTACTATTAGTTATAATTATTAAATGCATTTTTAATTATTAAATTAATGCTTTCCTAAATTTATCATACGAGTATGAAAGCAATGACATTTCAACTTTGAGTGTAATAACTTTTTTTTAATTTTCTCCGATAAAATAAATTTCTCTTGTGAACATTAATAATTATTGTAAAGAAACAACTTGCTATTATACTAGGAAAAAGTATCTTGAATAAAACTATTAAATTGAGTCATGTTTTAACAGCAGCTAAATATTTTATTCATATGAATATAACAAAAATTTAGTTGCGTCTGTAAAATATATTTTTCTGTTTTATAGTCGTTTTTCTTCATTATAAATAAACAAAAATATTTATTTATACCAACCAAACAGTTTAGTCGGTATAAACAAACAAATGCTTTATTATTTACGAAGCAAACAAATTCGCAAAAACAACTAAATTATTTGTTACATAAATAAAATATTTGGTTGCTGTTAAGAAATGCTTCAACTTACAGTTTTGCTAAAAAACAAAAAATTTTGTCCTAACATGATTTTATAGGAAAACATTACGTTCATTGCAAGTCACAATATCGCTTTATTGTTTCATCCTACACTTTATTCAAATTCTAATTTTTTTTAATTAAAAATACTTGTTATTTTAATTATTTCTGCTTACTCTGCACCTGCCAAGAGCAAATGATGTACTGGCCGAAGAAAGCGAATAACAACAATATTATTGAAGAACACTTCATCTTTATGCAAATATATGGGATGCACATGCATGTAACTCGCACACAATGAATTTTAACAAGAAATCAATATTAGATTTTATTACGAGAAAATATTAGAAAGATTTTATTTCAAGAACAAACACCATGGAGACACCGCCTCTACTTCAGAATGTGTGGTTTTAAATACTTCCGGTTTCACGTTGCTTCACACAATAACCACAACAACGATAGCGTTGCGAAGCTGTGCGAGGATGTTTCCGACAAAGAAGAAAATTAGATTTGCTCAATTAAACGCGGCGAAGACATAAATGAAGAGCCGAGATTTCATCCTTTTATTTGGGGCTAGACTTGTGTAGCCGAGGGCGGGAACACAATTTCCGCTGGCACGCAAGCGATAGCCCTTTTATCGTCTTCCGGTGCTTTATCTTCGTCGCGAGTCGCCAGGCCTTGAGGAAAATCCCTGGAGATTGTATTTCGCGCGAAACATGTCCGGCGCCAACTCGATAATCTTGATTCGGGATACGAAATTTTCCACCCGGACTGTATGATTCTACGATTTATCGAGATCGTAATCTAGAGTCTAAAGTCCAAAAGAATCTCGAAAGGAGCTCGAATCCATCAAATTCATTGGAAGAAATATTATCTTCTTTTTGTTTCAAAATCAACTTTTACATTTCGATTTTGCTTTAAGGATGCGAATCTTTTCATTTTATCTCTACATCATACGTACTTAATAATAATTTTAAGAAATGTATTCTTTTATAATTCAATTATTGCTAATCTTTAGTTACAATGCTAATTTAGTAATATTTAATATATAAAGAAAGAAAGAAAAAAAAGCAAAAAATAAAACAATAACACAAATTGTTTTTGAAGCAACCGTCATCGATAAATATGCAAACAAATGTGTCGGAAAATTTTTTTAATGTAGTTTCGTATTTTTATATCACATTATTATTTCAAAAATTATTTTTATTGTAATTTTTGTTAGCTCATGAAGAAAAGGTTTATGACTTTCTAAGAGAAGAATAATCCGAAGCCTCTTTAGCTCAGTGGTAGAGCACTGGTCTCGTAAACCAGGGGTCGTGAGTTCAAACCTCACAGGAGGCATATTTTTTTTTGCGTCTTTATATTACAAATATATCATTTTTTATTATTTTTCAGAAATACTAAGATGCCAACGTGCATAATGCATCCATTAATTTTTTAATACTATCTATTTTTTAAATTCTATTTTTTAATTACAGTAAAAAACGTAAATTTGATTTTATTCATATATACATTGTATGCGCATGTTTTCCTTCCTCTATTAAATTATTATATATAAATTATAATATCTTTTAATTTTTAATTTTTAATTAACATTTTAATTAACATTTTTAATCTATAAATTAATTTATTTAATTAAGTCCTCTAATTAGAGATTCTTAATTTAAATTAAATTTTAAAACACTTCTTAAAAATTTAACATTTTTTAAAATAAATTAATTATAAAATAAAAAATTTTTTAAACTTTCATGCGTCATGAATTAATTGTTAAATTCTTTGTATTCAGTTGATATTGATGAAAAATTAAACGTAGATTCGATACAAACAGCAGTTTAGATAAGATTAAAATTCATTGATAAAAAATACACACAAGTTTTGTATTTTTAATTAATAATCATAGTGCATGAATATGTAGATATGGCATAGTTGACGGAATCGACTAGAAACATCGAGTAACACCGGATTCCGGAAGTATCGAGGCGCCATAATCTCGAAAACTACTGTTGCCTAAATGCCGAACGTGACCGGTGTCAGCGCCACATGTCAACCGGCATTGTCTCGTCGTTTGCTGCAGTTTCCCGCTGTTCTGTTTTTACGACCGTTCGAGGTGATACTGGTTACTGGTGACTGATATTAACAGATATTCGACGAGATGGATGACGATTTGCCGTATATGGTAGAGTACGCGAAAAGCGATCGCTCGAAGTGTCAATCATGCAAGCAATCAATTATGAAGACGAGTTTAAGACTCGCCACCGTTGTTCAGGTATGCGTCGAATTTTACAACAAAGAAACCGCGCAAATATATTGCGCTTCATTATGCTCAGTATCCTCGCAATTAATGGAGAGCATTTCATAAAGAAGCAAATGCGTGCATTATCATTGAACTATCGATCTTGAGAAATGATAAATAAAGCACCTGATGTTGTCAATTTGGATAATTACGTCACATACGTGATGCTATTGCTATCAGAATTCTTGTTGAATTATTCAATTATTTATATACAAATGCTTTCTTTTTGCAATGTTTTCTTATTCGATTCAGGTTATAAAAAATATAAACATTTTGCTATGTTACTTGGAAAACTAAAAATGAATGTATTTCTTTTCTTACAATGTAACATTGATGCATTTTTTATTGCTTTGTATTCATTTTAGATAACAAATTAAATAAATATAGTTAATCATGCTTTATACTAAGAAATTTTCTGATTGAAGGTGTACTTCTGACACAATGTGTTTAAAAAAAATAAATCTTATATAAACAATATTTTTAGAGTCCTGTTCACGATGGAAAGATACCTAGATGGTATCACTTCAAATGCTTCTTCTTAAAACAAAGACCAAGTTCCACTAATGACATAGCTTGTTTCGATCAGATTCGCAATCAAGATCAAGATGCAATTCGAAAGAAAATTGGTTGGTGTATGACCCAAGCAAAACCTATAATTTTAATTAAATTGTTCGAATATCTTAGCTATTTGTTATATTTTGACTTGTAGAAGAATGTCGTAATGTACCTTCTGCATCAAAAGGAAGAAAAAGAACAAAAGGTAGTGCTTCTGGAGATTTTAGAGTAGAATATGCTAAGTCTAGCAGAGCCACTTGTATAGGATGCCAAGAAAAGATAATAAAAGGTGAAACAAGAATAGCAAAGAAAGATTATGAGAGCGAAGAAGCTAGGAAGTTTGGTGGTTTAGACAGATGGCTTCATGTGGAATGTTTCGTGAAACTAAGAGCGGATATGGGATATTACGGAAGAGGAGATGAGCTTCCAGGTGCCGAACAACTCTCAAAAGAAGATCGGGCAAATCTCAAAACTTCATTACCTAAAATGAATCAAGGCGATATACCACCACCTCCTAAAAAGGTTAAGGATGAACCAGAAGATGCAGAGGAAACAAAGTTGATAAAAAAACAAAATGATGAGCTATATGCTATAAAAGATAAAATATCACATCTTGGAAAGAAAGAAATGATTGAATTATTGGAAGAAAATGATCAAAGGATTCCAAGTGGTACATCAAATGTAAGTGCTGTACAATATATATTTGAATTATACACTTAATAAATATTTTTTAATTGTAAATCTATTATATGACTTTTAAGCAAGTTATATCACAAGCGGTTTATTATACCACTAATCGGACTTTATTTATAGATCATAAGTCTCTTAACTGATATACTATATTTTGGAGCTCTACAACCCTGTCCAAAATGTAATGGACAGCTCGTATACAATTCTGGTTTGGGTTATAAATGCACCGGCAATGCAACAGAATGGAGTAAATGCGAATATGTTACACAAAATCCAAAAAGAAAACTATGCAAAATACCAATCGATATGGAGACATTTCCAATTAAGTACGTTCTCTTATCAGACAATATGGAACTTAAATAAATTAATTCTATGTACTTTTTTATTTCAATATTAATAATTGCGATATGAAGATGAATTATTAATAATCATAATTCGTTTATAGATCATACAAATCTAAGATAAGAAAACGAATATTTCAAATAACAATGCCGTCTTCGTCGAGTGCTGTTAAAAAAGAGGAAGATGAAGCAGATGGACCGAAAATACAAGGAAAACCACGCCCTTTAAAGAACATGCAGTTTGTTATATTAGGTCGTACACAGAAAGATAAAGAGGAATTAAAAAAGGAAATTTTATTGTTAGGTGGTACTGTTGTAACAAAAATCCATCAAGATTTGGCTGCTGTAATTTCGAATCAAAATGAAGTGGATAAAATGAATAAAAGAATGGAAGATGTTAAATTACACGACATTCAAGTAATAACGGAAGATTTTATAGAAGAAGCAAAAGAGTACACAGATTCTCCCATCATGCTGCTAAAGAAGAAAACTATTTCTAGCTGGGGTGGCGATATTAATGCTAGACTTTCTAATGTTATCGCAAAATCTGCTTCTAAGAGTAAGAGCAAATTTGAGAAGTCGGGTTCTGGTAAAATGAAGGTAAAAGTGAAAGGCGGTGGAGCTGTCGATCCCGATAGCGGTTTAGAAGATGTTGCGCATATTTATCAAAAAGGCAAAGATAAATATACCGTCACGTTAGGTCTAACAAACATACAATCAAAGAAAAATAGTTATTACAAGCTGCAAATTTTGAAACATGACAAGCATGAAAGATATCACTTGTTTAGAAGTTGGGGCCGGATTGGTACTACAATTGGCGGTGACAAATTGGATAGAATGTCTTTGGAAGAATGTATAGAACAGTTTGAATCGTTGTATGAGGAGAAGACGGGTAATCAATGGAAGAATAGAGAGCATTTTGTCAAAGTACCGAACTTGATGTATCCGATCGATATAGATCATGGGGATCAGGAGATTGTTTCCCTAGATTCAGATATTAAGAGTAATTTGCAGAAACCAATTCAGGATCTGATACGTCTTATTTTTGACGTAAATGAGATGAAAAAAGTTATGCTGGAGTTTGAGATAGACCTGGATAAGATGCCGCTCGGAAAATTGTCTAAGAAACAAATTGAAAAAGCTTATGTCGTTTTAACGGAGTTGCAAGAAGTGTTAAAGGTAATGACTGATGACGTAGATCGTACTACATTGGTTGATGCTTCCAATAGATTCTATACACTGATACCACATAATTTTGGAGTTTCCGGGCCAAAAATTCTTGGATCATTGGAAGAAATCAAGACCAAGTGCGATATGCTGGATGCACTGCTTGAGATGGAAGTTGGATACAATCTTTTATGTGATAAGACTAATGAAAAGGAGAATCCACTCGATAGTCATTATAAACAGTTGAAGACTGACATCGAAGTGATGGATAAGACGAGCGAAGAGTTCAAGATGATCGAGAAGTACGTCAAGAATACTCATGCGGCTACTCATAAGCAGTACGAACTCGAAATCAAGGAAGTGTTTATTATTAAGAGACAAGGAGAAGAACAGAGGTTTAAGCCTTTCAAGAAATTGCCCAACAGAAAGTTACTCTGGCACGGATCCAGAACTACGAATTACGCAGGAATACTGTCTCAAGGTTTGCGTATCGCACCGCCAGAAGCGCCCGTTACTGGTTACATGTTCGGCAAAGGTATATATTTCGCCGATATGGTATCGAAGTCTGCAAATTATTGTTGCACACACAGCCAGAATCCAACTGGTTTGTTGCTGCTTTGCGAAGTTGCTTTGGGTAATATGTACGAGAAATATCAAGCGGACTACATCGAGAAGCTACCGAAAGGAAAACATTCGACGTTGGGTCGTGGCCAGACGCAACCTGATCCGCAAACTGTCTACAAGACCAAGGACGGCATTGAAGTACCTTATGGAAAGGGAGTACCTGCTAAACTTAATAACACTTCGGCATTATTATACAATGAATACATCGTATATGATATCGCTCAGGTAAAAGTACGATATTTAGTAAAAATGAATTTCAAATACAAATATTAAGATACATAATGAAAGTGTGATGATAAAGTTCATAGTATAGTTAAGGTTTTTAATTTCATTCCATTTTATTTGCTATATTATTAATTTAATGAAAATAAAAACTAAATAATTATAAGAAAGATAAATACTAAATTCCATTGTAGAGTTTGCTAACTCTGCAATGGTTTGCTATCATAACTGTTAAACTTCATAGAATTGTTTTATTTTTAATGATAATCTTTTGAATTCATGTGTTGTAATCGTCTGCAATTTGTTTACGCGCACCAGATAGTGTTTGCCTACCTCGAATATTGAATGTAAGATAAATAAATTTTTCACAAAATTAAATATTTCTTGTTCTTTACTTTGAATACGCACATCAATATTGTTAAGTTGTCAAATAAATTATAAACAATTTAATAAGATTTTGAAGTAAATATATGCGAGATAATTCGAATTATTTTTCCTATAATATATTTATTGCGAATTCTCTTGTGAATTCTCAAGATTGTGCTTAACACATCAATACGTCAAATAATGCATGAATGTTTAGATATAATGCGTACTTTCATGTTTTTCTCAATAATGCATTTCATAATAAGCTTTGTGACGGTGTGTGATATTTTGTCCGTGTTTATTTTTACTGTTATATATTCTATAATTACTTTCATGACAGCATAATTAGTAGATATATACAAACACAGATCAAAGTTTACAAAGTGCATTGATGAGAATTGAAATGCATGTCAGAATGTATATACGTATTTGAAAAAAATCAGCTGAAATAGCTTTTTTCAAAAATGTAAAAAATGAATGTGGTTATAATTTCAAAATATAAATATATATTTTATTTTAAAAAATACAAAGAATAAAAGTATAGATAATTGAAGAATATGCAGTATTATAGAAATAAAAATTTATTTTCTTTTTGATTGTATTAATTTTTCTTTTTAATTTAATGGAATCTAGCGTCTTAAATAATTATTGTATGTATATACATATCCTCATGTTTACTCTATAATTAAGCGAGAATTTCTTCAGTTGTAGAGGAAGGATATCGTAACCTTGAACCGCATACTCCTGTTTTATAAAATCTGAAGTCAGTCACACTACGTACATATAGTTCCGAAGAATCACTCGACCAGGACGGACGCGTTTCGATTCAGGTGTTACAAGTTTACGTATTTTTAAGTGTTGTTGACTTTGACTGAGCATTGAACCTCTCGCAGCTATCCCGCGATTTTGGACGATTCGTTTGTTCGTCCTGACGACGCCATAAATGCAGGCGCCCAGTGTCTGTGCGGGCATTTTCGTGGGCATTGCATCATTTTTTCTCGCTTTTGTGTGCGAGAAAAGACTGGCCAGAAACTTGGCTAGTCTTCTTCTTCTTCTTCCAATAGATACAAAAGCTCATACAAAAGCGAGAAAAGACTAGTCAGAAACTTGGCCAGTCAGAAGAAAAAGACTGGCCAAGTTTACCTCGTCAACGAGGACTAGGGCCATTAATTATCAAAGAAGAAGAGTCATACTACGTATTGGAGATCGAGGACTGGGAATTGAAAATTGTAATTCATATAATTTATAATGAAACGGATTAAAATTAAAATTATTGAACTGGTTGACTTCCTATCTCTAACTCGCAGTCTCTATCCTCAGTCTCTAATGCGTAGTGTAACATGGATTTAATGCTTGTACAAGTACACTTTAGCAAATACAAATTAACAAAACATAACTGTTATCCCACAAACACAATAGAGTAATAAACTTTAAGCCTTTGGAATTGATCAATCGTAGTCGATTACTTTCACATTCAACTGTGATTGATCAATTTCTTAAAGCTTAAGGCTTACTAAGTACTCTGTTATGTTTGCGCGGACTTAATCATATTTTTTCACACAACGGTTTAACTATAATGACTGCGTTCAGCAAAGACAAATGATCAGTTAGTGCTGGAATTCTTCGCTGGATTTAAGACGTGTAAGAAACTAGTCGGATTAAAGAATTCACTGATGAATTTTTTCTGCTGATCGCACTCAATGTTAGTATAATAGTTAAATTGTTAAATAGAAAATTCACTGATATATTTGTTAATTAATTATGTTTCTATATGTATGTTTATTGAGACGCATACTTTTCTGCAAGTCACTTTGATGAAAAAATTTACAAAATTAAATTAAAATTATATTAAATATTAAATCTTGTTTAATCGTGAGAACATATGAGAACACAATTAACAAAATGAATGCCTTTTAACAATCGTAGCTGGATCTTCAGTGCTTACCTAATTCCGTGTGAATTTATATATTACGTAAAAACAAAAATTATTAAATTGCTAGTCAATTTAACTCGAAGCTAATCATTTAATTGATATTACTATTTAACTGTGATAGTTTAGTAGAGTTTGCGAAGACCGAAATATTATTTCAACGCGTTATTTAAAGGATATGTAGTATAAATTCACAGAATTAAATAAGCACTTAAAATCCGACTAAGATCGTTCGAAGCACTGATTCTATTAGAATTTATTAATTACTAGTGATTGGTTTCATCATATTAATACTGCCAAATTTTTGGATTGTTTGGTATATCCTTATTAGTCTTGAAAGTATCTCAGTAAAAACTCTCTCGGAAAGAACATATTGTGAAGGAAAGGAAGTGTTCTTAAGATAATCGTACGTATTAAATTCGAATTTCAATGTCTATAATAAAAGGAGTCACATTAGAAGAAGAAATGAAGAAGAATCCTCAATTGAAACTATCCGATATACAATCACTGAGAGAATGGTGCAAGAAACAACCACACTTGCCAAAAATTGAGGACAACTTTCTCGCTTTGTTCCTTCACAATAATTACTATCAAATAGAACCAACGAAAAATACAATCGAGAATTATTATACGACCAGGACACATTTATCAGAAATTTTTTGCAATCGAGATCCGTTTGAGGAAAAGAGTCTGCGACAAACCTTCAAAACCACGTAAATAACTTTATGAATATTAATCAACGAATAATATGATTTGTTCGAGATATAAAATGGTCAATTTTTACAATTTTAATACATAATTTAAGATTCACACAGAAAATAAAATAAATCCTATAAAATGTACAGATATACTTTTGAAAATACCTAGAATATTTTTATTAATATTTTAATACGTACTTATTATACTAGCTTGATTTAAAATTAATTTGATTTAAAAAGGGCTGTTTTTCCTCTGAATGAATTAACAAAGGATGGTTATATCATGATATTTTCAACGCTCCTGGACAGCGATCCTTCCTTCTATGACTATAATAACTGCATGAAAAAAACTATGATGTTATTCGACATACAGTTGCTGAATGGTACGAATGATGGTTACGTTTTCATTTTTGATGTTGGCAAATTATCGTTCGGTCATGTTATGCGAATGAATCCATTGGACATAAAGAAACATCTGTACTATCTCCAAGAGGCAATGCCGATACGTCTAAAGGCAATTCATATTCTAAACGCAACACCCGCCATGGAATTATGCATGAACATTGCGAAGGCTTTCATGAAAAACGAATTGATAGACATAGTAAGTATCATAAATCAATTAATTAAATTCAACTGTACTTAGCAACAATATTCGTGTTTTTAAGAAACTCAATCATTACAACAAACGCGATATAAGCGCGATCAAATAATTCTAATGTTATAATTATAATAAATATATGTAATCATATTCTTTTATAGATGTAAATAAATGTAATCTTATACAAAACATGATTTTTATCATCATCGATAAACCTAGAAATTTTTGTGTCTAGTTATCCGTAACATAATTTTAAATGGAAAAATTATATTCAATGCTGTATTCTATTTTAGACAAATTTTTCTGAATTTATTTCTGAATTTTTCTAGATACATTTTCACTTATCATTAGAGAGCATTTCTGAATATATCCCAGTGGATGCGTTGCCAAATGAAATAGGCGGAAAAGCAGGTTCTACGCTTAAACTAGCTGAAATTCAATTGAAGAAATTGGAAGATAATCGCGAGTGGTTTCTGTTGGATGAATTAACCAAACGCGTTAATGAAGCGTTAAGAATAGACAAGAGCAAAACAGGAAATGATTTGTTTGGTATAGACGGTAATTTTAAAAAACTTGATATAGATTGATAAATACTTATAACTTCATCTGATTTAACTAATTGTGTAAATCTCAATTAATATTATTTTGTACTTCGCACTTTGTAGTGTTTTATATATGATAATAATTGTATCCTATTATGTTCATTTATGAAAATAAAAAATATTCTGTTTATGTTATTCTTATGTAATCTCTCATGAAGATTGTGATGCTAGCTTTTTTCAAACGAAATAAAAGTTAAAAACTAGATTACATGAACATCGTTCCGATATTAATAAAAAGACAGGTCCTCCATCTGTAATTATAGACCATCGTATTAATTTTAACCATAATTTCAAATGGGACGTTGTTAAAATTTTGGGTAACCCCCTTAATAACAGATTAATATCGGAGATGGTCCACATAAAAAGACAAAGATAAGACTTGAACAAACAGAACGAAACTGAATCGTTATCGGAATCATATCTTAACATTATGCAATTTCTCTCCTTTTTAGTCCTCCCTTCTTTCTTCTTCCTTCTTCCTTCTCATATTTACTTCCTATATTCCACTTACTTCTTTGCTCTTCAATCTCATTTTATTTACAATGTTCCTCTGACAATCAATTCTTGATCGTAGCAGTGCTTCTTTAATTTATTACAAAGATAATTTTATTAATTGAACTGTTTTACACATGTTTTTATTTGATGGTAGCTCCTTTAATTTATTACAATTACTATTTTATTAATTGGATTATTTTCATCAAGGTACATTTTTATTACATTCCATTTTACCGTTATTGCCATATTTTATTGTAATTAATAGATTTGTACTAACAGATTCATCCATCTATATATCAAGGTTAACAATAACTGAACGAGGTCTAAGAGTTCTACGTAAACCTTCACAATTGTCAAAAAAAATTTTACTTTTATAAAAAATTGTAACAATTTCATCTACATAGTTTCGTCAAGAATTACATTAAAGCATAGTTTAAGGACTCTACATTCAACCTCCATACAAGAGATGCTAATTGCAAAAAATATCACACTTTTAAGATTCCGTTTTTTCTTAAAAGTGATTAATTTATTCCGTTATAATGTTTTTCAATGTAAATATCTGCGATTTATTATACATTAAAAATGATCCGATTGGTCGAAACGTCTATAAATTATTTTTTGTTTATTATTAATTTGATTGAGTCATTTTATTTTATGAATATGATATAAATATATTTTAAAGAATGAAAGTATAATTGAAGAACATGCAGTATTATGGAAATAAAAATTTGTTTCTTTTTTTACTTTGATGGAGTCTAGGATCTTAAATAATTATTGCATGTATACATATACATGTTCATTCCTTTATGTTTACTCCTCAATTAAATATTTACGCTTCAGTACCGTAAAGGTATGGTACAGTAACTTTGAAACGCTTACACCTATTTTACAATATCTAAAGTCTAAAATCTGTGTTACACTACGCATTGGAGATTGAGGAATTGAAAACTATAATTCAAACAATTCGAACGAAACGAATTAAAATTAGAATTACCAAACTGGTCGAATTCTTATCTCTAATTCGTAATCCTCAGTTTCCAATAGTATAACATGGATTTAATGCTTGTATAGAAGTTATACTCCAGCAAATATTAACTAACAACGTAATCATTAATTATATTTCCCCATACAACAGTTTAACTATAATAGCTGCGTTCAGCAAAGACAAATGATCAGTAAGTATTCAGTTCTTCTTGATCTAAGACATGTAGGAACTAGTGGTATTAAAGATGACGAGTTTTTTCTGCTGAACGAACTCAATATCATATACACACACATACACACGCACACACATATATTGTGTAATAGTTACATTGTTAAACAGGAAATTAACTGACAGTTATGTTTGTCTACAGTTGTATTTGTTGAGAAATACTTTTCTGCAAGTCACTCTTATTAGACTTTATAATATTAATTATTATTGAATCTTGTTTAATCGTGAGAACATATGAAAACACAACCAATAAAAAGAATTTTAACAATCTTAATAATCGTAGCTGGATCTTCAGTGCTTACCTATTCCGTGTGAATTTATGTACTACGTAAAAACATAAAATTATTAAATTGCTAGTCAATTTAATAATTAAAACTCGTGATTACTGCGATAGTTTAGTAGAGTTTGCGTTTCAAGATCGAAATATCATTTCAGCGCGTTGTTTAAGTGTAAAGGATACGTAGTATATAGTATATATTCATAGAATTAAATAAGCACTTCAAATCCGGTTAAGATTGTTCGAGGCACTAATTTTATTAGAATTTATAATCAATATAAATTGTTACTAGCAATATAAATTACTACTAATGGTGATTGGTTTTACCATATTAGTACTGCGAAGTCTTTGGATTGTTCGGTATATCCTTATTAGCTTTGAAAGTATCTCAGTAAAAACTCTCTCGGAAAGAACATATTGTGAAGGAAAGGAATTGTTCTTAAGAAGATAATCGTACATATTAAATTCGAGTTTCAATGTCTATAATAAAAGGAGTCACATTAGAAGAAGAAATGAAGAAGAATCCTCAATTGAAACTATCCGATATACAATCACTGAGAGAATGCAAGAAACAACCGCACTTGCCAAAAATTGAGGACAACTTTCTCGCTTTGTTCCTTCACAGCAATTATTACAAATGGAACCAATGAAAACACAATCGAGAATTATTATAATCGACCAGGACACATTTATCAGAAATTTTTTGTAATCGGGATCCGCTTGAGGAAAGGAAGGAAGAACTGCAACAAGTCTTCAAAATCGCAATAAAATAAAAAATTTTATGAATATTAATGAATAAATAGCAGTGTAATATGATTTGTATATATAAAATGGCAAATTTATAATATTTACAATTTTAACCACATTAATATATAATTTAAGATTCATGCAGAAAATAAAATAAATCCTATAAGATACACAGATATACTTTTGAAAACACCTAGAATATTTTTATTAATATTTTAATACATACTTATTATATTAATTTGATTTAAAAAGAGCTGTTCTTCTCTGAATGAATTAACAAATTAACTAATTGTGGTATTATTATATAATCTCTATTAATATTATTTTGTACTTCGCACTTTGTAGCGTTTTATATATGCTTTTTATTATATCATGCACACTATATAGAAGATAAAAAGTATTCTGTTTATGCCATTCTTATACAATCTCTTAATACTTACAGTTCATACTTTGTAATGTTTTATACTGCTGTATTTATCCGAGTTAAAAAAAATTCTGAAAGAATGTATTCTTTATTTACATTCTATGCTCTTGATTCATTGGACTGTTTATTTTCCTTTTCGATGTTTCCCATCCAATTTCAATCAGTATGAAAGATTAAGATTAATATTGAAGTGACAATTCTATTTCGATCCAAAAGCGTAGGATTTTAAAAAGTTTCAAACAATAATAATGAACATTTCCCGAAATAAATTATGATTTAGTAAAGTAAAAAGTTTCGTTAATAATTCGAAGCGCTAACTTCGAGCATGATATAACAGACTCTCGAAAGGCAATGGCAGACCGAGTATTATACTTACCCAAGAAATCCTGTCTACCAAAAATGGTTCGGAATTCGACATTTAAATTATAGGTCCCTATATACTTTATATAATCCTATAACTTATATAATCAACGAACAGATGAATATATGAGATAGAGACACTTGAAGAAGAATAACTCAAAATGTAGCAGATATATTCGATTTTATTTTTTGATTTAAATATAAAAAATAATTGTGGTGGTTGTACGAATCATCTCCTCTACCAATTCCGTAGTTGAGCGATCAGTTTTCCCGAACAAGAAGTTGCAGGCAGGATTGAGAAAGTTACTTTTTAAAAGTAATGCGTTGTCGTTATCGTTATTTGAGGTAAAAAATAACTCATGACCATTACTTGTTATCGATTCTAAAAACGCGTTACTGTTTTTTAGAAGTAACAAATTACAACAAATATTTTTCTAATATTCAAATTTTCTTTTTCTAATTGTAATTTTTAAAAAAATTTTTCATACTTCTTGTTTAATTTAATGGTATCACGCATTAAATGTACAGCTGGATCGATTTTCTTAATCACTCTTGGAAGCTGAAAAATTAAAAAAGTTAATATTTAATATAATATTTAATATAAATTATATTTAAAAAAAATTTATATTCTATTTTATAGTAGCGACATTAAATAAAAGCAAACTTCATCTGATTTAACTAATTATATTGTTGTTTTGTAATTTCTTTAAATATTATTTTGTACTTTGTACTCGGTAATGTCTTATATAATTATTGTATTGTGCTGTTTATGACATTCTTATGCAACCTCTTTTAGTGTTTATAATTCACAATTCATATAATGTTTGTTTATATTTATATGCGTCATGCTGTATCTAGCCAAATTAAAAAAAATGTCTTCACTAACTTTAGAGTTTGTACTTTTTATATTTTCACTTAAAATTTCAATTCGTATGAAACATTAAGATTAGCATTGAAGTGACAATTTTACTTTAATCGATGATTAAATATTAAATTCACGACTCTACTTTGATTCAAGAGAGATAAAATTTTTAAAAATTTTACTAATAATAACCTAAAATATAGCGAATATATCGCAAAACTAGCACTTCTTCGGTTTTCAGTGGATCCATTTTTTTTAATTAAATTTTCAGATGGAAAATTTTTTTCGGAAAAAAATTTTCGATTCTGCTTTTAATGACCTTTTTTTTAAATACATACATCAATTTTCTTCCGATTTTTGAAAGATCTTCAAATATGATGACCTTTTAGAGAAAGGATTAAGAGAATATTTATTCATATAAGGCGTATGACTTTGCTCATGCGGTTTTTTTCCTAAATTCGAGGCTGTATTGTAAAAAACTGATTATACATTTATGATTCAAAATATTGTCCATCGCTGGCCACTACTTTTTCCCATCTTTCGGGCAGCATACGAATCCCGCGTCGAAAAAACTGGTCATCTTTTGAGGCGATCCACGAATCGATCCAATTTTTCACTTCTTCATAAGACCGGAAGTGCTGGTCAGCCAGGTCGTGTGCCATTGATCGAAACAAGTGATAGTCAGAGG